TCCTTTCCTACGTGGCTGATGGATTCAAAACGGAGTACTCAGGAGTCTTGGTGAACCTGAAGAGAGACATGCAAAAAGCTTGTGTGTGTGTATGTGGAGCGTCGTTGTGACATCATACAAAGGGCTTGTATGTGTGCGTAGCGTCGTTGTGAAATTCAAAGGAGGTGAATTTCACGAGTGGTGAAATAGCGATCTCGCTTGCAGACGGGCAAAAAGAGTTGCTCGTGGGTGCAAGATTGTGCGTGCAAACGATTGTGGTTGTGCGTACAGAGGAAAACAGACAAACTTTGACGAAAGTTGCGATCATTTTTGGAGAAGATGGTCAAGATAGCAGAGCTCAAGGCAGACCAGTTGCGGTACCTGTTGAGAGAGAGGAACTTAGGAGTTGCGGGCTCCAGAGCAGAACTAGTGCAGAGACTAGTGGAACACGAGGATTCCGAAGACGTGGATATGCCACAAGCAGCTGGAATCATGAACCAGCATGAAGAAACACTCGCAGCACAGGGAGCTGCGATTTCACAAATACAAGAACAAATGAAGACACTGACAACCATGATGACGCAGTTGGTCAACAATATGCCAACAGCTAATCAGCAACAGCAGCAGCAGCAACGCGTGCAAGAAGTCAACGTAGATGAGAGGAGCGATTCTAACCCTGGAGAGCAGGCAGCGAACAATTTTAGACAAGCGTCGGTGAAGGAGGTTGCAAATACCTTACCAGAATATGATCCCGGAGATGAGAATTCGATCTCAGTAAACCAGTTCATCGATCGTGTCAACAAGGTGGTTGGTGCGTATCAATGGGACGAGAAATTTGTGCTTTTAGCTATCTACACGAAGCTGAAGGGTCCAGCCAAAATGTGGCTCGATTCTTCACAGGTTCTACACACAACATGGAATAGTTTTGCAGCAGCTATCCGAGAAGAGTTCGGAGCAGAACCAGACGAGGCAGAAATCCATTTCAACATGGCAAATGCAACCAGAAGATCGAAAGAAACCGTAAAGGAGTATTGTTTCCGGATGTCAGCACTTGGAGTACGATTCAAGCTTAGTGAAGCAGCAGTCATTCGATATGTTCGAGCAGGTCTACAGCACAGAGAGTTGCAAAACAGTATTGCAGCCATTCATTTTTCGTCGATGAAGGAGTTTCGAGATGCGGCTGAGTCATATTTTCTAAACAGAGGTCGACCGATTGCAAATAAGAAGGAGTACGTACCCAAATCCAGTAATTTTGAGGGAAAGCTGGAGAACGAGATGAAGCCAACGAAGCCAAAGGAAGCTAAAGCATGCTATAATTGCGGAGATGTTGGGCATTTTGCTAATTCGTGCCCAAAGGAGAGAAAGAAGACGCGCTGTTCCAAATGTAATACATTTCATGCCACCAATGAAAGCTGCAGCGTCGCACAGGTGATGCGTTTGGGTGCATCAAATCAGGACAAGCTGTTCACAAGGAAAGTATATATCAACGAGCAAGGGTATAACGCATTTATTGACACTGGAAGCCAAGCGAGTATCATTCGCCAATCAGTTGCTGACGAGATCGACGCAGATCGCCAGACTTGTGCTATGAAAATTGTGGGCATTTGTGGAGGCTCACGAATCCTTACTGAAGCCGTTGTTGTAGACATCGACATCGCTGAAAAAATCGTAACAGCCAAAGTTTACATCGCAGAAGACAATCTACTACAGGAAGACTTATTATTGGGACAAGATGTGATCACCTGCGCTGAATTATTGTTAAAGTTCGAGCCAGGCGAGTCAGAAGTCAAGAGAGCAGTTCATCAGCCGTTAACATTTTTCTTCTTCTTCTTGTTAATTTCCAGATCGATTCCGAAAGAGAGCAAGTTCGTAGTCTGCTGGAGAAGTTTGCTGACGTTTTCTCCACAGGATTGCAAGGCATTGGCAAAACAAACATCGTGCAGGCAAAAATTGTTATTGAGGGTAACCAAGTGGTTTCCCAAGCGCCATATCGAGTTTCCGAGCCGAAGAAGGAAGTTGTCTGCAAAATGGTCGACGAACTTTTGAAGCTAGATATTATCACTCCATCCACATCAGAGTACGCTAGCCCGGTGGTGCTCATCAAGAAACCGAACGGAAGTGATCGACTTTGCATCGATTACCGTCGTCTGAATAAGCTGATCAGAAAGGAGAACTTCCCAGGAGGAGAGGCTGCAGGAAGCGAAGCGCTTCAGATACTTTTCGTCGTTAGATTTGAATAGCGGCTATTATCAGATCGAAATGGAACCCGAGAGCAGAAAATTCACTGCATTTATCACCACGGATGGAATGTACGAGTTCAAACGTCTTCCGTTTGGGCTAAAGAATGCACCTGCTGTATTCAATAGACTCATGGCAGAGTTGCAGAGGCGTGTGCAGAAAGGCGACATGATGCACTACATGGATGACATCCTAATTGGAAGCCAAACGTTTGACGAGATGTACGAAAAGTTGGAGAGAGTTCTAAGAGTATTGCGAGAATGCGGATTAACTTTGAACGTCGACAAATGTGAGTTATATAAGCAATCAATCACATTTTTAGGTCACCAAATACACACTGATGGAATCAGCCCCGGAGAAGTCAAGACTAACGCCATTGCAGAGTTTGAAAAGCCGAATAATGTGACCGAGGTGCGGCAGTTTTTGGGTCTTACTGGTTATTTTCGGAAATTTGTAGCCGGATATGCGATAATATCAGAACCACTGCGAATCCTTTTGCGCAAAGACAAACAATTCAAATGGGAAAAGTCACAAGAAGATGCTTTTCAAGAACTAAAGAGATGCCTTACGTCGAAACCTGTAGTTACTAGCTACCGCTTAGATGCTGAACACGAAGTCCATACAGATGCGAGCGCCGTTGGATTAGCAGGAGTTTTGATGCAGAAAGACGAGGATCAACTGAAGCCAATCGCATACTATAGCAGAGCCACTTCCAAACCAGAGAAAAACTATCACAGCTACGAACTAGAAGCCTTAGCCGTTGTCGAGTCCTTGGAGCGATTCAAATACTACATCTATGGAAAAATGATCAAGGTTGTCACCGATTGCAACGCTTTGAAGACGTATATGGAAAAACGCGAGCTGATACCTCGAATTGCAAGATGGTGGTTACGAATCCAGGAGTTTGACATCGACATCGTTCATCGAGCAGGAACACAGATGGGTCACGTTGACGCGCTAAGTAGAGAGCCATTAAAAAATGCACATGAGATGGATACAGCATCCCTGAAGATCTCGAAGACAATTATTGACGAAGCTGACTGGTTGTTTGCTATACAACTTCAAGACGAGAAAATACAGAAAATTGTTGCCGATATGAAAACCGAAAAGATAGCTGAAAACGACGAGTATGTGATCGAGCAAGATCGCCTGTTTCGCAAATATGACAACAAATTGCTATGGGTTGTGCCGAAGCAGCTGAGATTCCATATCCTACACGAGTGCCACGAGAAAGCCGGACATATGAGCACAGATAAAACCATCAGCCGGATTATGAATTTGTTTTGGTTTCCCCGAATGCGTAACTTCGTTAAAAGCTACATAAAGTCCTGTGTAGGCTGCGCGCTGTATAAAATACCAGGTGGACGACACGAAGGTCAGTACCACTACGATGACATCAAGCCGATTCCCTTCTCCACTGTACACATTGATCATCTGGGACCTTTTCCGAAGAGTTCGAAGCGAAATGAACATATCCTCGTACTTGTCGACGCTTTCACCAAGTTCACCATAGTTCGAGCAGTAAAAAGTATAGCAACTAAACACGTCATAGATGCCCTGCAAGAAGTCACCAGCTACGTGGGAATGCCAGAGAGAATCGTCACCGATCGAGGTACCGCTTTCACCTCCAAAGACTTTGAGAAGTACTGCAAATCAAACAATGTGAAGCACATCCTTAACGCTGTCAGAACACCAAGAGCCAATGGTCATGCAGAACGGACAAACCGAATTATCTTGTCAATGCTATTGCCTTCAAACGAAAACGAAAAACGCTGGGACGAGAAGATGCGATCAATCCAGTGGAGCATCAACACCATGGTAAACAGCACTACTAAATGTTCCCCATTTCAGCTACTATATGGTTACGAGCCCCGAGATGTCCTTAAGAATACGCTGACGAGCGTGATCCAAAATCAAGACACGAGCATGATGACTGACGCCGAGTTGGAGAAGCTCCGAGCTGACGCTGCGACCACAGTTAACGACTACAGAGCCGCCGCCAAGAGACGATATGATGCCAGCCATTCCAAGCCAACTGTCTATAGTACCGGAGACATGCTAAACGAGCCGTTTAGCACGGGCACATCGCGCAAATTAGAGCCGCGCTACAAAGGTCCTTTCATCATATCCAAGGTGCTGCCCAACGACCGATATCTAGTTGAAGATATCCCACACGCACAACGAAAGCAGAGACACTACAAGTCAGTGTATTCATCTGATAAGATGAAGCGCTGGTGCGAACTTCCACCCGATGAGCCAGATGAGGATGACGACGACGAAGACGACGAATCAGACCAATAATCTCGCGAGGACGCTACGATGTCAGGAGAGGCCGAATGTAACGGGCTGGTTGTTGCCCTGGATACAAACGATACGATAGCTATAGTAATAAGCGATAGGTAGACGATAGGATACGATACCGATAGCGACAATACGACAGAAGAAGAGCAACGAAAGAACGAAGCGGACGAGGTACAGAATTAATTAAGCAGAGATATAAGTTCCTAAGTTCATCCTGTAAAACCCCTTAACATATCCAATAAATATTACTCCACCACTCGGAAAAGCCATCTCTTCACAAATGATTATACCCGCCCTAGGCCTACCTGTCGAGTTTGTGTACAATGTTGTGTATCCCTTTATGGCCATGCCAGAGATTTGTCCGTCCCTTGTCCATGGCTCTTGTATAAGGCCGATGTCGATGTCCTTCTCCCGGAGAAGGATCCCCAGATTAGCTGAGGCGTGGGAGCTGCGCTTCAGGTTTATCTGAACGACCGTCGGCATTAGATCGGGGTGGTGTTGGGGGTGCTGTCGTCGATCGCCAAACCGTTCAGCAGCTTATTGGCGTCCTCGACTTCATCTTCCAGAATGTCGTCCGGTTCGTCTAGGAAGACCTTCACCTTGGCTTTCCTGATGCCGTAACGGACCTTGTTGTCTGCTGCCTTCAGCTGTTCTAGGCAGCGCTGGTTAATTAGGAACAGGTATGGCTGGCTGGGCTTCATTTCTCGCTCAGCTCTGAGAATGGCCCAGTCCTCCATGTCGACTCCCTTATTCATCGCTCGCAGAGTCTTGAGCACCCTTTCATGGCTAGACAGCCCCTTGGGCAACCAGATGCAAGCTCTAGGTCTCCTTGGGATGTCCTTGGCGGGGACTAGCTTTATGCTAATCCCCTTCCATGCTTTGCTTAGTCTGGCAACGCAATCCGCCAGGAAGTCCCGCGAAAACTCATCGTCGCACCTGATTACCCGGTGCCCCCTAACCATGTCCGAGGAGTCAAAGGAGGGTGACTGGCCCGTTGGCTCGGACAGTAATTTGTCGGTTACCATCTCCGCCAACTGGGTCTCGACCTCCTCCCATTTCTCCATCAGAAGGCGCCCATCGTCGTTGAGCTCGTCGATAAGTGCCATTGCGAGGCTGTCTCTGGCCACCTCGCTGAACTTTTTCGCGGGTTTGACGAAAGTGGTCGGTCTCGGTGCTCCCTTAGCGTCCTTGGATCTCTTCAGAGCGCTCTCGTCACCTCTTGTGAGCGGTTGCGCTTTGCTTGGGGAGGCAAAGACGTCTCTAGGTGCTCCTTCTCGTGGCGCTCGTATTCCTCGATCACTGCTAGAAATCTGGCTTTGTCTGCAGCGTCGCGCGGGTCGGCTTTGCCCTCCTTTTCATTCCTCGCTATTTTGGCGAGGATGAAATGGGCCTTGCTTGCCTGCGCCTTTCGTTGTTGGTGGGTCCACGGTTTTGTCTTCCCGTGTTCGCCGGTCGCTTTAGCTTGGCTTGCCGCCGCTTTAGTGTGCTTTGGTTGTGTCGTTTGAGGTGTGCTTGTCTTTACACCTCCCTCTGTATTGGACACAACAAGAAATATTGGAAAAAACAAAATAAAAAGGACTACAAATTACGAAATTAGTACTGTAGGGTGGCTAACACGGAACCCGTAACCTACGGTTGAGTTTTATTTTGATACAAAGAACATAAAAATCATAAATAATCATTATTTTTAAATTTTATTTTTTTGAAAAAAAAAAAAATTTTTTAACATATTTTATTTTTTTTTTACTTATATCTTATGATTAGCTTTAAAAATAAAATAACAAAATTTAAACATAAACATTACCATTTAATTTTTATTTCCTTGCAGGGTATTATAATTTCAGTCAGAAGTTTGCAACGCAGTGAAGAAGACCTTTCCGACCCTATAAAGTATATATATTCTTGATCAGCATCAACAGCCGAGTCGATCTAGCCATGTCTGTCTGTCCGTCTGTCTGTTTCTACGCAAACTAGTCCCTCAGTTTTAAAGCTATCTGAATGAAACTTTGCATATAGTCTTCTATATACTCTCACTGCTATATATGTCGGAACGGGCCGGATCGGACGACTATATCATATAGCTGCCATACCATTGTTCGATAAATTTTTAGAAAAAAAATTATAACTAGGCTGTTTATCAATATTTTTGAGATATAGCCATTTTATATTATTCCAAAATTTTGGTAAAAATTTTATGAAAATCGCACGACTATATCTTATTTTTTTTAACATATTTTTTTTTTTTTACTCATATCTTTAAAAATAAAATAACAAAATTTAAACATAAACATTACCATTTAATTTTTATTTCCTTGCAGGGTATTATAATTTCAGTCAGAAGTTTGCAACGCAGTGAAGGAGACGTTTCCGACCCTATAAAGTATATATATTCTTGATCAGCATCAACAGCCGAGTCGATCTAGCCATGTCCGTCTGTCCGTCTGTCTGTCTGTCTGTCCGTCTGTCTGTCTGTCTGTCTGTTTCTACGCAAACTAGTCCCTCAGTTTTAAAGCTATCTGAATGAAACTTTGCATATAGTCTTCTATATGCTCTCAGTGCTATATATGTCGGAACGGGCCGGATCGGACGACTATATCATATAGCTGCCATACAAATGTTCGATATATTTGCTGTTTTTCAATATTTTTGCACCATTAGATATGGCCATTCAATATTATTTCAGAATTTTGGTAAAAATTTTATGAAAATCGGACGACTATATGATATAGCTGCCATAGAAACGGTCGAGAAATAAATAGGAAAAAAAATTATAGTTTCGTTGTTTTTCAACGTATGTTTATCTACTCTGAGATATAAGCTTTTTTTTATTATTCTAGAATTATGGTATAAATTTCATAAAAATCGGACAACTATATCATATAGCTGCCATATAAGCCGATCGGTAGATGTAGAGAAAATGTAAAACTGGGAATGTAAAACTGTAACTGTCAAACTGTAAACATAATAAGTATAGGTAACATGTAATGAAACTCTGTTTTGTGTGTTTTCAGCATTTAAATCTATAATAAAAACCTCAAAACCAATCTGCAAGGGTATACAAACTTCGGCGTGCCGAAGTTAGCTTCCTTTCTTGTTAATAATATAACATAATGATTATGGTGCCTGGTTTTTTATACCCTTGCAGGGTATTATAATTTCAGTCAGAAGTTTGCAACGCAGTGAAGGAGACGTTTCCGACCCTATAAAGTATATATATTCTTGATCAGCATCAACAGCCGAGTCGATCTAGCCATGTCCGTCTGTCCATCTGTCTGTCTGTCCGTCTGTCCGTCTGTCTGTTTCTACGCAAACTAGTCCCTCAGTTTTAAAGCTATCTAAATGAAACTTTGCATATAGTCTTCTATATACTCTCACTGCTATATATGTCGGAACGGGCCGGATCGGACGACTATATCATATAGCTGCCATACCATTGTTCGATAAATTTTTAGAAAAAAAATTATAACTTGGCTGTTTTTCAATATTTTTGAGATAAGGCCATTTTATATTATTTCAGAATTTTGGAAACAGTTTTATGAAAATCGGACGACTATATGATATAGCTGCCATAGGAACGATCGGGAAATTAATAGAAATAAAATTATAGCTTCGTTGTTTTTCAACGCATTTTCATCTACTCTGAGATATAAGATTTTTTTATTATTTCAGAATTTTGGTATAAATTTCATGAAAATCGGACAACTATATCATATAGCTGCCATATAAACCGATCGGTAGATGTAGAGAAAATGTAAAACTGGGAATGTAAAACTGTAACTTTCAAACTGTAAACATAATAAGTATAGGTAAAATGTAATGAAACTCTGTTTTGTGAGTGTTTTCAGCATTTAAATCTATAATATAAACATCAAAACCAATCTGCAAGGGTATACAAACTTCGGCGTGCCGAAGTTAGCTTCCTTTCTTGTTCCTTGGTAAAATTTGTCCGGCGCCTTCCGCCATACTTCATAGAGCTCAGCGGTTGAAAGATCGAAGATACCTGTGCACATTGAAACAAATAGTCTATTATTTAGAATGAATGCCTCTACAACATATATCGGACGTACAGCAATACAAAGACATATATTTTTATACCCTTGCAGGGTATTATAATTTCAGTCAGAAGTTTGCAACGCAGTGAAGGAGACGTTTCCGACCCTAGAAAGTATATATATTCTTGATCAGCATCAACAGCCGAGTCGATCTAGCCATGTCCGTCTGTCCATCTGTCCGTCTGTCTGTCTGTCCGTCTGTCTTGCATAATTTTTTAGATATGGCCATTTTATATTATTTCAGAATTTTGGAAACAACTTTATGAAAATCGGACGACTATATGATATAGCTGCCATAGGAACGATCGGGAAATTAATAGAAATAAAATTATAGCTTCGTTGTTTTTCAACGCATTTTTATTTACTCTGAGATATAAGCTTTTTTTATTATTCTAGAATTTTTGTATAAATTTTATAAAAATCGGACAACTATATCTTATAGCTGCCATATAAGCGATCGGTAAATGTATAAAATATGTAAAGCTGGGAATGTAAAACTGTAACTGTCAAACTGTAAACATAATAAGTATAGGTAAAATGTAATGAAACTCTGTTTTGTGAGAGTTTTCGAATTTTTTTTTTTGCATTTTTCGATAGCTTTAAGTGTGTAGAACATCATACTAAAAGAGCAAATCGAAATACGTAATAGTTTAAAAGTTATGAGCCTCCGAACCGGCCGACTCAAAGCAGCTACAGAGCAAGCATAAAACTTTAAACGTGTTTTCTGGAAAACTACGTTTTTCGAGCTGGCGACCGTCCTATCTCAGTCAATTTTTAACGTCACCCAATACGAGGGAGCCGACGCAGAGATAATGCGTATTGATAGCATGCAGAAGCTCCACGACCTGCAAGCTAATGCATCGCTATCTCTGGATATCTCGTCTGCTGGAAGTGCTGAAGAGCAACTAAGAGAGGGAACTCTTTTTCGTTAGTATTTGTCTCTTATGTAGGTATAATAGGCTAATTTCTTTAAGAGAGATCAGTTTTATAGAATTCTTTTTTTGTAATTATTTTATAGTTCTTAAATTGCGTGTGTGTTTAATTTATTATTTTAATTCAATAGCTTTGATTTAACAGCATCCAGAGCGAGTAGTAGTGCAATAATTAGGGTTCTTGCAAAACAAAAAGAAGGGTTGCGTATATGCCATATTAACGCTCAAAGCTTATGCAAAAAAATTGATGAGTTCCGGTATTTGTTTATTAAATCTAATGTTGATGTTGTGTGTGTTAGTGAAACTTGGTTTGTCCCTCAACTTAGTGATGTCCTAGTTGAATGTGAAGGTTATAACCTTTATAGATCTGACCGCGAGGGGCATGCTGGAGGGGTTGCCATCTATATTAAGAAAACTTTAAAAACCAAATTAGTAATCAAACAACCCTCTGGCAGTTCAATATAATATCTTTTCCTGGAAGTACATGGGCGTGGAAACTCATCGAATGTGCTCATTGGATGTGTCTACAGGCCTCACAGAACGATTGACTGTAGTGAATTTATTGACGAGGTATCTTCTTTATGTTCTGAATACAATGACGTTTTAATAACTGGGGACCTGAATAGTGATATGCTAAGGGAACGACAATTAAACTCTGAAATGGAAAGTCTTGGACTACAACTAGTAAATAAGACTCTCCCAACACATTTTACGACGAATTCAAATACACTTCTAGATGTCTTCTTTGTCAGCAATACAGACAAAATTCTTCTGTATGACCAGGTCTCAGTGCCGGCTTTCTAACTAACTGACCATACAATTTTCTATAGGGACTTTAGGAACATTGACTTTGAACTTCTAAGTCATGAATTGGATACTTATGATTGGAACCCTATGTACAATTTTAGTGACGTTAACTCCCAACTGCATTATTTAACGTACTGCATTGACTCAATGTACGAAAGGTTTGTGCCACTTAAGCAAAAGGTTCTTAAAGCCAAAGATAATCTGTGGTTCAATAATGGTATTGCTGCAATGATCAATCGACGCGATATTGCCTATAGACGCTGGAAAAGATACAAAATTGCAAGTTACTATGACGAATTTAAGTCTTTGAGAATGACTGCTAACTTGATGATTGCCAATGCAAAGAGCAATTATTTCGCTCAAAAATTTACCAGTACAATGACAATGAAACAAAAATGGAGAGAACTTAAAATGTTGGGAATCGGAA